GGTGGGGTGGGGGTTGTGAAGTTATCGAGGAGTGTTTTATGTCTAGAAGTAGAAAATATTAACTGTACTGATTGCTATCTAAATCTGGATGCTTTCATAACTTATTCTAAAATGTAGTCACTTTGAATTTTTTCTTTATGCTGTAGAAGATCACCCTGTACATACATGACCAGATGCAGTGTTTGTCTATGAACTGCTATGTTGCAATGGGGTACGACTATAGGTGGTACTGTCAATAATAGTTGAGTGTATATTTTATTGAATATCACAACTCAGTACAAATTTTCTTGAATAGAAAAAGAAATAGACCATTAATTATATTAATTATATACAAAATATTTAACCTAATGTCCTTTAACCTAATTACATACTCTTTTTAATACTCTCTCTCAAGTTAGAAGTAGATATTGTTCATCCCCCAACTTGTCAATGATAGTTTAGAATGCTGGATTGTTCAGGCATTTAGTCAACATATCTGCAAGTTGCGAATTGGTCGCATGTATGGGTTAAATATTAAGTCAATGACTAGCTTTTCTTTGATGAAGTGCCTGTCAACCTTAATAAGTTTAATTCTGTTATGTTACACCAGGTTATGGGCAATGCTTGTAGTTGATTTATTGTTAAAGTATAAGCGCATGGGGTTATCCTACTTGATTTTTAGATCTTTTAAAATTTTCTTTACTCATAGTAATTACATACCCCTTGAGCCATTATTTGGAATTCTGATTCTGCACTTGACCTTGCAACTACATTTTGCTTATTACTCCTCTATGTAACCAAGTTATCCCAAGGAAATTATAGTAACCCTTGCTTGATTTTCTATCCACTACTGATTCTGCGGTAGTCTATATTCATATAGGTTTTTAAGAGTAACCTATCATTTTTTATGAACACGATCCCTTTTCTAGGTGACTCTTTTTAGGTGATGCAATATTCTGTAGGCTATCTGTAAATGTGCTTCTTTAAGGCAATGCATGAACTGATTTGTAACACTTAATGCATAACGATGTACGGTCTTGTGTGTGATTGGTATGTTAGCCTCTCAACCAATCTCTACTCTATCTCTTTATCTATTGGTGTATTTTCTTCTGCCAGCTCCAATTTATGATTGGAATCAATAGGAGTACTAGTTGATTTACATGCTAGGTTGCCTATATCTTTTAAAAGGTCATGAATGTATTCTGCTGCAAGATGAAGATTTTGGATTTTGAGCGGATGAATACAATTCCAAGAAAGTATTTCAACTTATGTAATTCTTTGATTTCAAATTTTTTAGTCAAACATTGCTTGAGTATCAATTTTTTTTTATCATCATCTGTTACAATAATGTCATCAATATATAATAGGAGAATTGTAACTCCATCTGTCTTAAAGTGCGTCATAAATAGAGTGGGGTCTCCCTGAAACCGCTTATATCCCAAGTCTATCATCACCTTAACAAAATCTATCAAATCGTGCTCTAGACGATAGCTTGGATTCCATAGAGGTGCTTTCTTTATATTACAGACTTTATGTGGTTCTGTTCCTCTGTCAAAATCCTAATGAGGTCTTTATATAGATTTCTTCATGCATATTTCCATGTAGGAATATATTCTTCATATCAAATTGTTACAATTGCCAATCAAAATGAGCAACTAAAGATAGAAAGATTTGCACTATGTTCGTCTTAGTTACTAGTGTAAGTATCTCTTGATAATTATCCTACAGGTTTAGGTATAGTTGTTTGCCACCAGTCTAGTTTTATACTTATTGATTGCCCTATATGTCTTACATTTAATTGCGACTATCCATGTATAACCAACAAGTTTCTTCCATGTCTAGTTATACTCTACTGCCTGCATCTCAATATTCATGATATTTTTCTATTTCTCGTAGGATAATGCCTCAAATATAGTGTTAAGGATATACTTGATATTCAAACTTTTAAAAAAACTTTCATGGGACTGTGAACATTTTTGATGCATTTTCGGGTTCCTTTATGAATGGCAATGATTATACTATTATCAATTTGTGTAAGGTTTTTAGGGTTTTCCTCAGTCTTGGAATTCATGCCGGATGCTTGAACCTATTTTGGTTCATACTAGGATTCTTTCTTTTTGTATACACTTGAGTGACCTTGGGGGCAAGTATAATTTCTTGAGTGGGTGGGTTCTCTGGTGGCCCTTATGGGTTTTCCTTATGGTGGTGATGGTAGTGTTTGAGTATGTGGTAAGGATGGTAGGTTCAGGTCTGTCGATAACTTGGTATCCTTATATTTTGATCTAGGTTCCTATTGAAGATAAAACTGAGAAAAATATGAGTTTTGTTTAACAATGGTGACGTCTGCAGACACATAAAACTTTTGTGTATGCGGATGGTAACATTTATACCCTTTTTGAAAAGATGAATTCGCCACAAATACACACTTTAGGGTTCTAGGATCAAGTTTTCCTATTGAGGCGAATGAATGTGAACATAGGCGACTCACCCGAGCACTTGTGAGGTCAGATGTTCGTGACATTTACTTATGGGTAGAATCTGGAGAGGGTTTCTAGAGGATTTTTGAAATCTAGAGCACCGGAGGGTAAGCAGTTAATAATATATGTAGCTGTAATGACTGCTTTGCCCAATATTGTTTTGGGATGTGATCCTGAAATAGAAAAACTCTAGTGGTTGCAAGAAGGTGACAATTCTTATGTTCTGCCTACTCTATTTTGCTGTGGAGTGTCGATGCATGATTAACTCATGAATAATACTTCTTGTTGAAAAAAGGATGTGTGATTAAAAAATTTTTTTGTGTTATTAGTGCTAAATCATTTTATGTGGGCTCCAAATTGAGTTTTGATCATATTACAAAATTGAACTAACATTTGATTTAGATTTGAGTAAGAAAAGCTATGTAACCCTTAGATCATCAATAAATGACACTAATTATCGAATTCTAGAAATGTTGGGAATGTGAGATGGTCCCCGAATTCCCAAAACCTCAGAATAGAGAAGGATGAATGACAAAAATTATGTTTGACAAACTTGCATACATCACAATGTAAATTTCCATAATCAGATTTTTTAAATTATAATAGAGACATAACCTTTAAAATAGAGAATGATGGATTAAATCTTTTGTGGTAGAGGCAAAACTTGTGGTTAGGATTGTTAGAAATAATAGAGAGATCCACTAGGTGTATCTATGTAGTACAACTCGTTTCTAGTCTCAGTACGTCTAGTAATCTTCCCTGGGTTCTGATATTGAAAGTCACAGTAAGAAGAAAAAATTATTACTTTACTGTTCAAATCTTGTGATAATTTGGTGACTGATGCAAGGTTTGTGCAGAGTTTAGAAATATGTAACACATTTTATAAAATCAAGGTGGACTCAATTTGATATTGCCATTGCCAGCAATGGTGTTAGATAACTATCTGCAGTAATAATCTCTTTCTACTGGGCCATGAAACATAAGTGTGAAATATTTGGAATCGAGGAAGCTTATCGAATTTGTAATGATTGTATTATATGAATGGTTAATGTTGCAAGAAACCTTAATGATTGGTAAGTCAATGAGTATGAAGAGCTGTTATTGGTTTTGGCAGCACAAGAGATCGATCACTATGGATCAGGTTACTTGGAAACTGGAGAAGAGGGGTGAGTTCACTGTGGGGTCCTACTACAGACATCTGATTGGTGGAGCTGATGGTGGTCTGAAAAATTTTCCGGCAAAACAAATTTGGAAAGTCAAGGTGCCTCCGAGAATTGCTTTTTTTGCTTGGGAGGTTTGCAGAGAGAGTATCCTAACTATTGATAAATTAAGAGCAAAGGAACAAATCATAGTAAACAGCTGCTACCTCTGTCTGAATGTGGAAGAATCTTGCAATCACTTACTCCTATGTTGTTCTATGGCTTATGGAATGGCTGAATATGATCTATGGCCTATTGGGAATTGAATGGGTTATGTCTGGGACTGTTTTTAGGGAAATCTGGGCTTGGGACGGTTTAAGTGTTAAAAGGAATGTTGCAAAACTGATTCCATTGACCATTTTTTGTGTTCTTTGGAACTTTTGAGGGTAAATAATTAGGATTTTGTATAAACTAAGAGATAGGTGAATTCTCTATTTTAGGATTATTTTGTTAGGTCATGGTGTTATTTGTGATGAGAATTTTGGGAATGTCATCGATACACTAACCACATTATAAATCTTTGTACACGGGGTGGTACCCACTTTTTTAGTATCTTGTTAATATGTGCCTGACAATTTTTATCTCAAAAAAAAGTGTGAAATATTTAGAAATATTAGTCATGTGATCAGTTGCCTTTGAGTCTATTATCCATAAGTTTCCAAATATTAGAAGCATTCAAAACATCTGAGAAAGAAAACCTATTAGGGTTTATGAAGGAGGTCTAGTGTTTTTCTCCTAAAACTCTAATACCATGTTAAAATTGGTTGAGTATGTGTTATTGAATATTACAGCTTTGCATATATAGATTTTTTAAAATAGAAAATGAAATAGACCAATTATGTATATTTCCCGAATGTTCTTTGAAATCTCTACTACTTAGCCCTGGGAGATAAGCCGAGCCTGTTATTCCCTTTGTGGGTGAATGTTAAACACTGTTGAAATTTATCAGTCTTAAGAATCTTGAATTAATGTCATATTTTGCAGAATAGATTCATTTCCCTACCAATAAAGAGCCTTTTCTCTATTTGTGGTTTGTCATGAAGGCATGAGAGGTGTAAGAGGTAGAAAGGAACAGGTCATGTCGCGTATCCTCTCTATTCTTGGATTGTTTTGGAGAAAAAAAGCAAGCAACTTTTGGAGATATGGAAATCTTCTTTCGTAGCATTAAAGATTCATGGTTTTAGGAGGGAAGGTTGTAGTCCTCATAGTCCATCTTCCTTTTTGGTAATATTGCAATAAATTGTTAGTACTATTCCTTTTAAGAGCCACATTATAATTTTTAAAAAACTGTCACTTTTCTGAAAGTTAATATCCTGGAGCTAGATGGCCAGTGCACACAACTAGTGGCGTGACCTCAAGTTTTCTGTGAGTCTCCTTTTTTTTATAACTTAATGGACCTTGTCATATACATGGATTGGATATCTGCTTTATTTGGATGACACTTCCTTGGTGCCTTGTAAATACTAATGTTTTTCTTTTTCCCTATTTCTTTTTTGTTTGGTTGGATGTGCTCATCTGATGTGTAACAATGATTTGAACAGATGGAAATTTTGTCTTCTGTTTATAATTGATATGGCCATAGTCTAATTTTCATAAATTCAATACAAGGATATAAAGTGCATGTTTTTTTTTTCTTTTTGCCATATCTTGGCAGGTTAGATGGAAGAACAGAGAGCTCTGAAAGACAAAATTTGGTTGAGAGGTTCAATGATCCCATAAACAAAAGGGTGAAATGCACTCTGATCTCCACGAGAGCAGGATCTCTGGGGATTAATCTTCATGCTGCGAACCGTGTAATTATTGTGGATGGTTCTTGGAATCCAACATTTGATCTTCAAGCTATATATCGAGCTTGGAGGTAGGTCCTAAGTTATTGGAAAAAATAATAATGGGACAAAAAATGTCCCTTTGTTTTCCATATGGATCAGTCTCACCAGTTTTTTTGGTCTTTGTAGATATGGCCAAACAAAACCAGTGTTTGCTTATCGATTGATGGCACATGGAACTATGGAAGAGAAAATTTATAAGCGTCAGGTATTTGACATGCAAATTGAATTTCTTTGAGTTTTTATTTATTCTGAATGATTCTTTATAAAGGCTTTGCTTCAAATAGGTAACAAAGGAAGGCCTTGCTGCAAGGGTGGTAGATAGACAGCAAGTACATAGGACAATATCTAAAGAAGAGATGTTACATCTATTTGAATTTGGCGAGGAAGAGAATCCTGATGCTTTTACTGAGATCAGGGAAGGCGATGGACATGGATGTGGCCAGAAGATCAATTGTCAAGTTGGAGATTCACTGATGCAGAAGGCTTCTCTTTCTAATGGAAGCTGCTCATCAGACAAATTGATGGAAGATTTACTAGGAAAGCATTGTCCAAGGTGGTTTTATTTTCTATCTTTCTATCCAATTTTTTCTTTCTTTTTTGAAAAATAGAGCACTAACATACCTGCAGTTCGTATTCTGATTTTGTTTTTTAAATTTCTTTTAAAAACAGAAAGAAACAATTTTTTCTGGGGGCTTTGAACGTGGTAGTATCATTTGGTTTACTTAAGATATTTGAATTAATTGGGTTAAATGTAAGCATCATGTGAATTTTAGCCTAGTCTTCTTTCTATAACAGAAGTTATTCGCCTGACTATTTGGTGGAAAATTTACTAGGGAGCATTGTCCAAGGTGGTTTTATTTTCGATTATTTGTTAGATAGAAGAAGAAATATTAAAAAGGTAGTAAGTTGTTACATTCAAGATAGAGAGGATAAGGTATCCTCCAGCCAAAACAGTGACATGAAAAAGAAATAGAGTGAAAAAATCAGAAAAAAATTAGTAACTCCTTTTTTTTCTTCACAATAGATGAGCCCAAAAGAACATTAAGGTTACGTCTGAAGAAAACTAGGAAGAGCACCCTATACCAAAGTATGTACAGTGGCTGAAACCATTGCTTGAAAATTCTAGCATTCTGTTACAGTGGTAAGATCTAAAATCCAGCAAAAGTGACCCTCCACAACTAATAATCTCACAAAGATATCCAGCTCAGGTCGACATGCGCAAAATTCCCAAATGTCAAAGACGGTCTAATTAAAACCTTTTACACTTGGTCACAGTGAAGAAATAAGTGGTTTTTACAGAGCTCCAGGAGCATATCAAACTGATATCAATGGATTAAGCTTGTTAGGTTTCCGAGCCTGAAGCAAACCATTAGCATTAATGTTGTTTAGGCCCTACGATCCAATAAGAATTCTTATTGTTAGAGTGAGCTTTCCCTACCAAAAGGAGTGAGAGAAAGTTATACTTTGTGTTTTAGAAGGATGAGTAAGAGATTGAAAGGAGAATTGCTGGTGTCAAGGATTCTAATTTTATTCAGCTCAAGGAGAGGGTAGAAAGAATAAAAAATGATTAATTGGGAACACCTATCCTACAATTTTTGATAGTAGATTGTTTGAGGAAATAATAGAATAGATATAACTGGGCAAAAAAGTTTTACTGTTATCTTTGTTGTTTTAAGAATTCCATAATCTGGAGATCATTTTCTTTTGACTGAATTTAGGGATCTAGTTGTCGTTACATGTTCCGAGGATTCTGTGTATTTTTAAATTTACAGTATATGACTTTTGGTTTTTGAAAGAGCTGAATGTCATCAGTTAAAAAAACTGTAGAAGTTCTTAACCAATCACATCTTCTACATTACCATACTTCTACTTTGACGCAGATGAGTATCATAACTAACAAGCTTTTCAATGTCCTTACCGTATCTTATTTCATTACCTTCTAGTAATAGAAAGTAAGCAATAAACCATAAGATTCTTAAGTAGTAGTTGTCATCATACTATTGCCTATATGTTGTGGGACCTAGAGATTCTATCTCATGGATGATCAGTTATGTTTGTGTTTGTCTTCTAATTTTTGTGATCCGTCATCGCGCATCTCATGTTACATGTAGTTTGTTATGATGCTATGGGATAGCAACACTAACTTTTATCGAAAGTCAATTGCAACAGTTTTTTAAATTTAGTAATGTAGGGCTTGCCTTTTCCTATTATCTAAGTAGATAAAGATAAAATAAATTCTATCATGTATTTGATGGAGAAAATGGTTTTTTGAGATACTGGGACCTTATATACTGAGGCTTTTGGTTTTTTGAGGTACTCGTTTGAAGACAAAGATTTCGTAAGATATAGTAAAAATGGCATATGGTGATGTATATCCTTTGAAATCCTTATCTTGTCTGCATGACATCTTCTGAAGGTGAAAAGACTTTGTTATGAATTGTCTCCCAATGATAATTTTCTTTCAACTATGTGCGTTGTTTGACAACTGCATTTGGATTGGATTTTGGATTTTGTGGCCTAAATGACTGGGCAGTTGGCAATCAGTTTGATTGGCCTCCATTAGGTGATGACTGGATCTCATGAAACTTAAAGCTTGAGAATTAAAGGAGAAACCCACAAAGAAGCTCATCTCACTTATCCTTCTTTCCATTTTTTGGCCATTTGGTAGATTTGTGGACCTTTTGTTCCATACCTAGCTACTTTGTCCAAAGGTCGTCCTTTCCATAATGGATATCATCTTGGGCACCTCATAGCTCTCTTCTGATTCTCGGTTGTACCCTTTTCTTCTCCATGCCATACTTTTATGGTGTCATCATTCCTCACCCTTTTTCCTAAAATTGGGTTACTTGCCGGCATTTTTCTAAAAGAAACTAGATTTCTGTGATATCTATTGTGTTGATTGTTTGAAGAAACTAGCGTTCTTTAGGATTTTCGTATTAATGGTTCTCTATCTGCTTTCTATCTGTATGTGCATTTCAGACTAAAATAATTCTTTAATTTTTCTGGTAACAGTTCTGATGTACAGGTGCTGCTTATTTGCAGTGCTGGACCTTTTGGTTCTACTTTTTTTTAGTGACTCTGCATTCTGTCCAGATCTTTTGCAATCCTCTGACTTGTTATCTTGTTTTGCAGGTGGATTGCCAATTATCATGAACATGAGACCCTTTTACAGGAGAATGAAGAGGAAAAGCTGTCAAAGGAGGAGCAAGATATGGCTTGGGAAGTCTACCGAAAAGCAATGGAATGGGAGGAAGTGCGGCGAGTTCCCGTTGATGAATCTGCTTTGGGGGGAAATCCTGTCACTTCAAATGTGAACCCCCCTGTGCCAGAAACCAGTAACTTGACTCAACCCAGGGACCTGTTTAGGAATCGTGGTGCACAGCGAAAGTGCACTAATCTTTCTCACTTGCTGACACTTAGAAGTCAAGGCACAAAAGTTGGCTGCTTTACCATTTGTGGAGAATGTGCCCGAGAGATTAGGTGGGAGGATTTGAATAGGGATGGACGATTGACAAGGTGATGAAGACTGAAGTTCATGTTGTTTGTTTATATGTTACATGATGTAATTATTTGCATTTTAGACACCAGAATTGTAAGTTAATCTCCTTCTCAACATGGTACATTCATTCCGTGCTTTAAATTTCCAGCATATAGATAGGCTTGTATTCTTTATTTGTCTTGGAAGAGTTTCGAGGATGCAGCTAAGCGCATTCTCACTGTAGATGTAGCATACCAACAGGGGGTTGGGGCGGGCGTGAGGAAAGTGCTGCGGGACATTCGGGCAATAGAGAGGGTTTCAGAGCCCATCTTGTAAAATTGTGCTTTATAGAACTTCCTTACAAAATTTATATCAGATCTTAATGTCTAATTTCTACCAGTGCCATCTGGTTTTACCCTAAACAATTGTCCACATTCTTGGGGTTCTGTTTGTACAACATGGCTAATTGGTTGGAGTTAAGTTACGCAGGATAAGTTTGTCTCAATATTAGAATTCCACAAGTTAGGTTAAAATAATACTAAACACTTATGTTAAAGTTCATAACAACTAATGTATTTTTTTCGATAATTAGTTCCATCAAAATTTCAGAAAGATTCTTATAAGCAAGAAGTAAAATATTCAATTCTCTATCTTGTTTTTAGTTAAAGATGACTATCCGTTTTATCTTTTTTTTTTTTTATGACAAGAATTCAACCTAAGACCTTGTGATGTATTCATGCAATATCTTATTCTTTTATTTCCTTACTCGATAGAGATGGAATAAAGATTATAGGATTTCAATCATTGAACGAACACATGATGAGTTAATTAACAAGTTCTTTAAAATTTCATACCCTTACAGATTTGAACTCTAAAACCAATATCTATATCTTTTTTCTCTTACAGATAGAGAAAACATCATATAGAAAGAGCTTTATATAACTCTCTGAAATTCCATTATGCTTATGTAATGTTTAAGATGATTTATAAAGTCTTTAATTCTCTCGTATTAATTTAGTTGGAAGAACTTTAATTTAGAGGAGATAAGATCCTCTATATTATTATATCAAGGACATTCGTCGTTACAACATTTCGTCATTAACATTATCCTCAAGAAACTAGTCCTCTGTTCTTTTTCAAGTAAGTTTTCATTTTCATGATGTATGCACTTTTTCTTATTACTTTTGCAAGTAAATCTAATTTTTTCTTGACTTCCTCCCTCCAAACTTTGCTCTCCCATGTTAATCCCATGATTATAACTTCTTATAGCTAGCTAGCATGGATTTCTTATATTTCAGCATAACACTCCTTATCTTTTTAGCCGAGAGAATTTCATGCTCTTACAAACTCTTAGTTATCTTTTAATACTCTACCAGAACTATCCTCATTTTCCGATTCTTTCTATCTGAGCATGTTTCTAACTTAAGAACTGTTTTTTCATATGAAAACAAATCTATTGTAAACCCTCATATTTTCAATTCAACAACAATCTTTGCAACTTAAATTGTAAGATCAAAGGCTTTTTCAAATCAATTTCTATATTAAACATTTTATATTTACCTCTTATACTAATCATGTTTCTATTTATGCAAGTTGGTTTACTTATGGCCTTGGCTATCACTTCTATATGATCACGCTTAGATTTGTACACCAATTTTAAAGCCTTCACATATCGGATATACATAAAGTTATACAGTACTAAAAGTTTCCTAGATAAGGATAATTATATATATATATATATATATATACACACACACACACACATACATATCACAATCAATCAATATGGTGTTAAAAGAAATATGTGAAAGTCTAAATAACTAAATAATAGTTAAAAATTTGATGGAATACTTTCTCTTTTAAATTTGCTATTTTCATTTATAAAATTACTTTTTAAATCCATATGAGTATCGTTTTTATTATATTGTGATATATTTGTAGAAATTATCATTATTAATAAAAATTTTTACCCAACGTAAAAAAAAAGAAAAATAAAATTAATAAGTAAAGCTTCTCATATTTAATATTAAAAACAAAGAAAATGGTTAAATAACTTCTATTATAATTTGTTAAATGTATTTAATAAAATAATAGAAATCAGATAGTCTAATTATATACATTATATAAATGTAATTGAAGCATTTTCTATACTTGATTAATGCGAGTAGAGATCCTAAGATTTATTTCCTAATAAAATTACTTATTTTTTAATAAAAATTCATACTTTAATTAATTATGTAACACATGCACATCCATGACAACACAACCTTCTAATAAATACACTACTTCTTTAAAGAACATGCGAGATACACTCAGCTCACTACTTGAACTCACACCCTCACCAAAAAAGGTAAGAGTACATAACATTAAACCAATAGATGGTTGATGAAATCATCTTCTAAAATTTAATATACGTACAACTTTTATATATATACACATATTATAATCCATGATTTAGCATATTGAGGTTTTGGTGCAGCGTAAAGCACCAGCTGATTCTGTAGAAACCCTAACAGATTTGGCATCAGAGACTTGGAAGACTTGCTGAGGGTCATAGTTAGGCCTTGCACCACCAAATCCTGATTGAGTGAATGAAGCTCCATTCTTAAAGTAATCCCTTACTGAATAAAGACTCCATCCAGCTTTGTCCTTCTTATTATGCTTCCTCCATGTCACCTCTTTGTTTCCTTGTGCGTGTACTGCAATAAAGAAATTGGCTTCACTCTTAACGCTTGGATTCATACTTCCTCCAATTGCATACTGTGTCCATCCTAGGTATAGATTGTTTACAACATGGGCATATCCATGGCGGACCCTGTAAAAGGAAAAAGGGTATGAATTCCATCACATATATATATATATATATGTATAAGTACTTATACACACAGACGTATGGTCAATATGATCATGACTATTTTAGTATTTGATAAGAGAAATTAAACTAAACAGATGTATATACCTGGGCATTCTTTGGTTACAATTCGGTCCAAAATGATTAAAGGCAACGGTAACCTTCATGTTCTTATCTCTCAAGTACCCATCATCATGGCCTAGAAGCATGACCTTATCTTGGTTCCTAAACCAATTGTTAGAAATGGTAACATCTGTTGTCCCACGAGTGACATCGAGGAGACCATCATGACATTCATATAATGTGTTGTGGTCTATCCAAATCTTTCTTGCCGTCACTAGCCTTATTGCATCTCCATCTACTTGACCCATCTGCATTATTTGTGAATCTGGCCCAATTACTGACATTGCTGGTTGAGGTCGACAATGATGTATTCTAAGTCCATGGATGATTATGTCTGTTGACTGAAAATTTCATTATATAAATATGTTAAAATGGCTGATCGATAAAGACATAATATAATATGCAAATTTTGTAGATACAATTTTACATACCTTGTAGACGAGGAGACAAGCAGGTCCTATTATGTGAACACTTGCACCCCGGCCATCTATAGCGGTGAAACTGCTGATGAGAAGGGGTGCTTGCAAAGAAATTCTCATGTCTCTTTGGAAGCTAATCCAAACTTTTCCTTTAATGACAGTAGCTCCATATCTAAGGGATCCCGATTTGGGATTTAATGGGTCATCTGAAGAATCTGTAACCTCATAATACACCATCTTTGGGTCCATGTTGTTGATCATCTTCCCTGCAAATCCCACAGAACAAGAGCCAAGTTGTTGCCTATTATTTCTCCAATGAGTGTTCCCTCTCCAACATTTGTCAATGACATTCATTTCTGTGATTAGTTGATGAGCAAAATTAACATTTACATTTATTGAAATTACAGTAATGATGAGAATAAAAATAGGCAATCTTATTAGTATGGTCATTTTCAAGATTAGGGTTTTTGATATTTGGAAGAGAAGATGGTAACTGAGATATACTTAAGGTAGAATATTAGGAAGAGAAAGAGATGTTGCTTATATAGAGGGAGGAATTAACAAACAAAATGAAAGTAATTTGTTATTTGCTTTATTTTTCTAAAAAGAAAATTGTTATTTAATTTTTATGGGCGGGGAAAATTCTTGTTAAACAAGGAGATAGGAATAGAAAGGAGTAAGTAATGTTGTTTTTCTGTTATATATATATATATACATACATATATACTATAATATGTTATATTAAAAATAAGATAAATAAATCTACATATTATAAATATCCAAAGATTAGCGCATGCTCTTGATCTTTTATTTAATAGTTTATGACTATTGCAATGTAATGTGAAATTGATTGTGCAATATCAAAATTTCCTCTTGTCATAATTTTATTTTTTGTGCAATTTGAATTATATAAGATTTGCTATTGGGATGCAGTACAGTTTCTGCAAACTATAATAAAGATAATAAGGAAAGAAAATGATAAAGTAACCGGGTCCGAGTTTAACCCGAACCGGTTTAATTTTCTTAAGAACAGAAAAAAGTAAGAAGAATTCTAGAAATCATTGAGTGATCATGCAACTCATGAACAAGTAGTAAATTAGAATAAAAATTTAAACTTGTAATTAATCAATGATAATAAGATGCTGTTTGGGAAGTTTAAAGAATTGCTAAATATCTAGATTCGAATTCTTGAAGTAAACATTATGTTTTTTAATTATAATATTAAAGAATTTCTCAATACGAAAAACTTGTTTAAGTATATTGAAACTCTAAATAGACAGTTTCGAAAGATAATGTAAGGAAAAACTATAAAATTTTAGAAAAAATATTTAAGTTAAGATTGACCTATTAGTTCCTAAATCCCATCAAATTACTAAAATGATTATCTACCGATGTCAATTCAAATGAAAATTTATCAAACAATAAGTTTATATTATAGACAAGTTGATTTCTATTGTAGAATTTTTTTTTTAATCAATTTAACTTATCTTTTCTCAAATAATAGTAATAATAAGCACAGAATCATTTATAAATTTTCATTTTTGTAACACTATATATTTTGTAGTTATTGATCTCAACCTTACATGTCAACGATAACAAACAGAAATAGAGACAGCTCAAGATAAAAGATTAGTGTCAAAGTTTAAATATTTTAAAATGAAAACAAGTTTACTATTAATTTGAGTTGCATTATTATTGTTACTTTTTGGCTACCATGTGGAGTATTTTTTTATTGAACACTTCGACTTTGTAATTAGTTCTGCTATTGAAAATTTCTTTTGATTTTTCACAATGTTAAAAATACGTGATATTTTATGAAATTATTATTCATTTACATTAATCGTTAATCTAAAATGGTAGAATTTTTTTGTTAAATTTAATTCTATTATTTTTAATTTCATTGTTACAATTGGTTTCATTTTAATTTTTACTTAATTCAATAGCACTATCACTACTTATAACTAGTTTGATTCTAACAACTCTCATTTCAAATAGTTCTTATCAATAATTACCTTTTTTTTTCATCTTATGTGAGAAATTGATTTTTGATTTATAAATTTGATATTGACAATCGAGTTTTTTTTTGTTTATCTGAATTTATATCACTACAGTCAATCTCTTAATTTTATTATCCACCACTATAATTCTTCTTCTTCATTTGTTTCTTTAATCTCATAGTATTTCAATCTCTATGTTCTTCATTATTATTCTTTTTCTATAAGATGAATACGTACTTCTCACCATTAGAACAAACATATAGAATACTATCCATACACATATATAAAATATATGTATTGTTTAATTCATGAACACCTAAATCTTTAATAAAAAAATATATATGCATTCTTTCAATAACAAATTATATTTAAATATATATACATAAAATATCAATATAATTCATTAATTCCTTCTACGATATGAATATAACAATCACATAATTAACATTAGCAAATACAACACCATTGAAGTGAACTACTTTATTATTTTTATTTACAAATTTTTTATAATCACTTTAATATATTTAATATTGTAAATTTTTTTAGTATATTAACTAATTATAAGAATAAATTGAAGATATTATTATTTTAATTTTTTAATAAATAGATTCTCCAACAAATAATTAAAATTAGTGGTAGCTTATTGTTACCGTAAATATTAAGTTTTACAGTAGAGCTCTTTTTACTTACATCAGTAGATGTCCTATAATTTTTATCTTTCATATTGAAGGAGTTTTTTATGTTAAAAATTTTAATATTTTTGTGTGACTATTTTTTAGTATTTTAGTGCAGATTTTATTATATTTATTTTAATTTATTCTCACTCCTCATAAATTTATTGAATTAATTCCCTATGTACAAAAAAAATAAATGAATGTGGTTAATTCAATTGGGTTCAAAAACTTCAATAGTCAGGTACCTGAGACAAAAACGGGTGAACCAGCAGCTGCGATGCCGTCCATCTTTTCTCTGAATCTTTTTGCAAACAACAGTCTATGAAGCTTCGAAACTCGGCGGAACAATCCTCTGGAACGCTGGGCCTCTCACCGAGACAAATCGCACACATCAACGTCACCCAGTCCGGTGTCTGACCCGGTTCCAAGAACGGAAAACGACCCATGTAGAGCTCCAGCAAAGTCACCCCAAAACTCCAGATATCTCCCGCATAAAGATTTTCATCTTGACCGTAAGTCTGAGGATCGAAGCGCTGGGGACTCATGTAAGCGCAAGTGCCGACGAAAGAGTTCTGGGAGACGAGGGTGGGGCGGATGATCTTGCTGACGCCGAAATCTGCAATCTTGACATCCATCTTTGAATTCACGAGCAGGTTGGCGGGCTTGATGTCTCTGTGCACAATCTTCTGGCCATGCAAGTACTTCAAACCCTCAAGAACCTGTCGAGCGACGGGAACCAGATGCTTTTCGGAGAAAGAACCCCGTTCTTGCAGAAGGGTGTGGAGAGAGCCAGCGTCCATGTACTCCATAAGTATTTCGACTTCACCGGAAGGCTTCTCGTAGATTGCGTGGCAGCGAACAACGTGCGGCGAATCGGTGAATCGGAGAATTTCAATCTCCCGCGAAAGTTGTTGGCGAACCGTGGGATTGTTGGCGGCATAGATGATCTTGAGCGCGTAGAGCTGAGAAGTGGAGCTGTGTTGGACTTTGTGGACGGTGCCGCTATTTCCGTGTCCAAGAACCTGAATCTTTTGGAGGTCGGAGTAGGAGACGGTGGGAGCGGTGGTGGTGAGAGGTGGAAGGAGAGGAAGGTGGAAAGGAGTTTGATGAGTTTGAGGGATGGAGAGGCGGAGTTTGGGACGGGATGGAGCAGAGACGGCGGCTACCATGATTAGGTTATTCTTCTCTGCATCTGTGATTTTCTTGGAGAGGAAGAGAGAAAATCTGAATGGAGTGAAGTGAGTGTAACGGGTTTTGAACCTATATGTACACAGCAGTCCGTCTCCTGGAAGGTGAAAGCGTAGAGCCGTTATTTTTGCGCGGGAGTTATATATATATATATATATGTAGTCTCATATATATGAACTAAACAGATAAACTTTCCTGTTTGAAAAGCTGTAGAGAAGCTTACTTATGTTTCTTGAATGGATTTCTTTATTTCTTTATTTAAAATATTTTTTTCTGTATTTATCTGAAATCTAATTTGTGGGTTTCCTTACTTGGTTGCCTATAAAATAATTGAATTAAGGAGTAATTTTTTTGGTATATATTTACAGAGAAAGATCTGGATAAAATATATATATATATATATATAATCTCAAATTTTTATTATATGGTCGAAAATGTTCGTTAATTTTGTTTGAATGAATTATTATCTATCGGTTCATTAATTAATTAATTACCCATATGTCGAAATATATATACTTGTGTTCGTATGTGTGTGTATAAATATTTATATGGGATTTTGTTTACGACATATCAGTGACCAGGATTGGGGAGCATCTGATTGCATAATTAATACAAGCTGGTAATATTAATGATGCTTTAGCCTGAATATATATGTATATATATATATATGTATGTATATACTAACAACGCTATTTGTGATTGAATATATGGCATTAATCAATCAATTAATTAATTAATTAATTAGTTATTACTTGTGTTTATTTCTATAATTTGAAAAATATGTAATACATGGAACTTCACATAAAAGATTCAGTAATTTATTGATTTTTTCACGTTGAATATGATTTTGTTATTAAAAGAATGTATATATATATATATATATATTATATTGATGTAATCTTTTAATAACTATATTCTATGTGCATTTTTTCAATCCACTCTTTCTCAACTCAGAGAAAAATTAGAGTCTAGGGATTTTGATTTGTTTGGTATTGTAGCAAAACCCAATTAAGCATAGAAGCAATACCATAAGAGTTGCATTAATTACTTTGTCATAAATCAATTAGGAAAATAAACAAAGCCAACCAAAAATCCCATATATATATATGAACACAATTATATATATTTCAACATCATTTCATAGTACAGTGGGGAGTAAAAGGAAGACATAGGTATACTTTGTAAACATGGTACTATATCATACATTATAATTCTTTCAAGAAAATTGAGAAAGAATCAAAAAAATTATTAAAAATGATGAAAAGTTTAAATACTTATTGACTGATAGAGTTTTGAACGATTTCGTTATTTTCAAGTCGAGAAAGTTGAAAGATAATCTAGAGAAAGAAAACTCTTGGGAGAAAAGGAAATTCTCTTAACGTGATCTAGTAGTTTATAAGAAAAGAAGCAACATATAATTCAAAAACTCCCTTCCCATTACATACAATATTTTTATCAAAAAATTCATGGATTCATAAATTAAGTAATATATAGAATAAATATTATGTATATATGTAATATTTTATATGCTTATTCAAACACTGAGAAAAAAATGTTGTTTGATTAAAAAAAAAATATATTGATGAAGAACAGAAAAATCAAAATTACCATGAGCTTAAATGAAAAATGAAGAATAACAACAATAATAATAATAATATAGATGAATCATTGTCAATACCCATTTTAACTTCATGATTGCAACTAGTATGCATTATCTATATCTTGGTATACCAATCTTATCTTTTCAAATAGAGGGAACTTTGTGCTTCTATTAGCCTCTTATTTTACTCTTCATATTAGTTGTCAGTCTAATACTCTATTAGACTTTCTTTATTATCAACTTCTTTCAACTTGAGCATGTTTTAGCTTAAGACTTCTTTTTTTTTTTTTTGATACAAGGGAAAAACAACAAAAGAGCTAACGAAAACAATCAGATATGGCTATTACATAATATGAGACAAGAAATATCAAGTATATCCTCACAGAGGATGCTTATATATATATATATATGTAGTCTGTGATTTTCTTTGAGAGGAAAAGAGAAAATCTGAATGGAGTGAAGTGAGTGTAACGGGTTTTGAATCTGTATATACACATTAGTCCGTCTCCTGGAAGGTGAAAGCATAGAGCTGTTATTTTGCGCGGGAGATATATATATATATATATGTAGTCTCATATATATGAACTAAACAGATAAACTTTTTCGCTCAATTTCGAGCACCCCTGTGGCCATATTGCAGCAAAACAAATGGCAGGTGAGCCAAAAAGTATGGGCAAAGTTCGGCAGGGCGGCTGCGGTCCAAAACCTGCAACATCCTCTGATGAACCCCTTCCTAATTCTCGTTTCATGTAATTTTTTCACCATTGTATTCATCATTCTGTTTTCTGCAGATTGACCGAAGGAGGAATCCCAACCGCCAAGGAGAGCCGACGAAGCTGCCGCACCCGGAAACTCCACCAC